TTCAGGAAAAGCAGAAACACTACTCTGTTCTTGAATAGCTTGTTCCCCTCCACATACTTATGTTTCAGAGCAAGTATACAGAAGTCTAGATGCTTCATGTAAAACCAAAACTACTAAAGAGACCAGGGTTGTTTTGTCAGTATAAGAAATGACCAAAACAATAATGTAAGATACTTTTGGAACAGATACTGCTTCAGAGAAAAGGGATCTTTCACTCCTATGTACACAACACAAGTACCACATGATGAATGACATATATGCCAAAAAGCAACACTTCAAAAATTAATAGACCATTCTTAGTATTTTGTGCATTATTAGTGGAACTGGCTGAAAATAACCATAATTACATCAAACTACCTGAAAGTATAACAGTGTAAATCTTTAATTGTCACTGATACATGCTGAAAACTAACAAAAGCCATTTTCTGATAAACAAAAGTATTGATCCACCGTATACTACAGTTTCTCATACACTCCCCTCAGAAGCACAAACTCACAGAATTTTCCCTTGCATCCATTTCCCTTCCAGAAATATTAGCTGCCAAATAGCAGAAAACACAATACACTTTTATGCAAATATCAATAACAGACCTATTTTTGAATGCAATTTAATAAATTTCCAATTTTGCAACCAAGGAAGTGCTACGGCCTTGCATACACTTACAATTGCATATGGCCATTTACTTGATTTATTCAAATCACTTTAATATCATGCCTGAGTATTCATAAGCTGGCATTGGAATTGTTCATAGCAATCTTATTTAATCTGACAAGAAATAAACCTAAGTGCTACTGGTCACTATTCAAAACTCCCTGATGGTCTTCCTCTTTTATTAAGTATATTTATTACCACAGTTGGTCTGGAGGGAATATGAGAAGAGACCAACAGAAAGGCTGTGACCCTTTACCAAAACTATACTCAGTTCCTGAGGCTGGACGGCATGGCCAGAAATGAGCCTTTGCATTAAGATGACACAGATGTTTTAATAGGAATCTGACATACTTTAGATATGAATGCTTTTCATTTCATATTCATCTAGATATTTATCTTCAAGTAACATAATGGGTGTCACTCAAACTTTCACCTACCAGAGTGGGGTTAGCACACTATTTCTCTTAAAGACCCAGAAGACATGAAACTATAACAGGAAGCAAAAAAAAACAGCACAGAAAGATGGTTCATATGGAATCCAATGCCACTGCTCTCAGGTAGTAAGAACCTCAGATCTATGGGGAGTGCTGCTTCACTTGTCTATCCTTGTGCAAGTTCATTCCAGCATGAGCTCATTCATGCCTCCTATCATGCCAAATATGAACCTGCTTTTGATGTGTTATCACACATAGAAACACTTCACGTGGTTACAGTCGCTAACTGTGTCTGAGCAGGAGCTGGTAACTAGCAGCTGAAAGCTGCACCAAGCTGCTTGTTAAACTGCCTCTTAGCTATTAGGTGTCACCTGCCAGCATAAACCTCCTGTTGAGTGGAGCTGAGGCAGAATGCTCCTGTAACAGACAGTTGGCACAACAGCAACCCAAACTCACCTAAATGGGCAAGAAATACTTAGATTTGCTTTTGGAGGTCTCAGCTGGGAGTTGCAACTAAAAGGTGGTACTAAACAAGTCCCTCTCTGCTAGAATATGTCTAGCATTCTGATCCACTTCTTCAGCATCCACACAAAAAAGGAGCAGTTGTTTGCTTGGAACAGGAGTTCATCACAGCGGGTGACTCATGTGAATGTTCACACAATGTATACACATAGAGCATATCACTCCAGATTGGGTATGTTTCTCCCTCTGCAATACCCACAGTGGTTATATATATATATATTCCATCCTCAGTCATACTCAGCATGTACTAAAATTAAGCATGCCCAACACTGTTTCATTTCCTTTCTAACCATAAGCCTCCTCCACTGAGAACTCCTCATGAGGACTCTAGGACCACTTTTAACCACACTTTGAACAAGCACATATCTCATCCTATTGCTTGAAACTTCAGAATCCTGTGTCTTAGTAGTACTGCAGGACCGTTACAGCAAGGGTAATGTCTAATTTGATACTCTCATAATGACATAGTATTTGATAAAGGTAGGGAGACCTCATTTGGCAAATGCCTCTGTGAACTGTGTAGCTTCATTTTCATGATGTTTCCTAATGAAAGATGATGACTATGCTTCAGGAAACTCTGAAGGTGCATTGACATAACCTGAAAAACTTCTGAACAGTCTGCATATGAAGATGGACATGTTTTTTTTTGTGTGTCTGCTCTGTTTTTTTGTGTCTACCAACTGTCAGTAAACAACTTGAAGGATCTGTCTTGTAAATGCTGCAATTGCAGGTTGGTGAACAGAGTCTTCAGCTCCGTCACTTAAAAGCTATTGGATTGTCTCAGTGAGCTGTTTATTCTAGGAACAATGTGTCCATGACATTAATCTAGATGGGAAGGAAAATGGAAGGGCGTATTTCTGCACATATTGGACAAATTCTGCTAATATTGTAGGAAAAAACTCACCTCCCTGTCGTAAGACCACTCGTGTTCTTACACGAATGAGATGTTTGCATGTCTAGTATCCATGTTTGCAAGTCTCATCTGATGTGAAAAAGCATCACACTGGTATGACAATGCCATGTGGCCTATAAAGGATAGGCAAGAGTTCACAGTGGTGATGTCCTAGTGGACTGAGAACCTTGATTCTCTTGATGATCCTTTTGTTAGCCAACTGTTCAAGCGTGTAAATAAAAAGGACCTATTCCATCTGAGCTGTGTCCACTAATTCTAAGACCTCAACTAAAAACAAAGCACTCAGCATAGCAAAAAATTGAATGGAAGAGACCTTTTAATAATGGTTCTCACTGACAATGAAACCAAAGTATTTCCTGTGGCTGTATGAAAAGAAATACCTTTAAATTCATGAGATATTAAATTATTCCTCTCTATAACAATTGAATGTCAACAGATATAGTGTCAATCTGGAACTTAAAAAGGAAGAATATTTAAGATTTGTAGACAGACTGTCAGTTACCAGCCTCCTTTTCTCTTCATATCAAAAAGTATCTGCTGTGAACTTCTCACTTCTGTGCTGCACAGTGTCAGGTTCTACAGATCTGAACAACGACAGAGAGCCTCCCTCTTGACAGCTGGTTTGGGGAAGTCGAAATCCAGTGCCACCAAGAGTAACACAGGAGAAATCTAGCTGAGGCTTGATCCAGTGAAAGGATGAGTATTTAGTCTTAAGGGTGCTGACATTTATTTTGAGTGACATTTCCAAGCTGGAGAGCTATCTGAAGAAGATTACAAAGAATAAAGAACTTGCCTTGGTGATTAACACCCACAGTCCATCAAAGACCGAAAATAAGCTGTTTCTCACAGTACACACCAAGTGCTAATGGAGAAGCCTGGTGCCAGGGGAGCTTTTGATGCTAAACCGAAGTATTCACAGATAAGCCAGAAAAGATCATGACACCCAATAACCCTTAAAGATGCCAGAAAAGGAAGTGGTTAGGTCAGATTTCCACTTCTTTCATCGTCAGAGAAGGCTACTACATTAGTTTCAAATTGGGTGTTAAAGAAAGCATGATAATAGTAAGAAAAATGAGGCTACTTTCATTCAGACCTCATTCAAAGAGGCACTTTGGTATTCATTGAGGATACAGAACATTTACAGTCATTTATCTGAGACTTCACAAATTCCCTGTGATTGAAACTCTGGCTCAATGCCAGAACAATGATACTGAAAGGTTGGTCAAACACCATGGGGCACAGAGGCCTTGTGTCATCACCTAGAATGGTGAATGGGAGCAGGAACAAAGTTTTTTAGACTAGGATCCTCTAAGAGGATCAATCGGTAAGAAGGGGTTTAGGTTTGAAAACTTGAGTTAGTGCCATATATCAAGTGGCACATGCCAAACTAATAATTTGTAAGTCACAAAAGCAATATAACCCAGGACTTAAAAAGGAACACTATTTAGGGGATCCCTAGGGGAATCCTAGCATATCTGGAATATTATCAGTCTGAAGCCTGAAAGTCTGGAATAAAGTACAATGGCTAGTCATACAAACCTTCCAAAGACAAAATAATCTTGCAACTATTTCAGCAGACTATAGCAGGACATCACAAGTTGCACAAAGTGGAGTAATGACACAGCAAGTAATCTCTGAGGAGGAAAGCACATGACTAGTAAAAAGGCCAAAAGGGGTTCCTGAGGACAGTACTGAAAAATGTGGAACAACTAAAGCGTATGAGAAATTTTCAACACCCAATCATTCTGTCTCACTAGTGAAAAAAAAAAAAACAAAAACAGTATTATGAAGATCCTATTTTACAGAATCTCCTTCGGAGCAAAAGAGAGGAAGAGGACAGTAAGTGAACAGAAGCCCCCCAGAGATCTGTAAAAGGAAAACGTTGTCCTGCCTTAAGTAAGAGAACAGTGCAATTTCACAAGTGCATGCACAGGCCGACTATCACTTGGAGATAACTTAGTGGGCATGTCTTGTGGAACCCTCTATTCTGCATTGGTGAGGCCGCATCCGGAATATTGTGTCCAGTTCTGGGCCCC